TGAATGACAAGATCCATTGCTCATTGGTGATGGGAAAATCCAGAGTAGCCCCAATGAAGCCGACGACAATACCAAGATTGGAGTTAACTGCAGCGACAGTAGCCGTGAAGCAACATTGTCAAATTCGAGAAGAGCTCGACTTGCAAATCGATGCAACTATATTTTGGACAGATTCTACCTGTGTTCTACAGTACATAAACAACGAATCTGGTCGGTTCAAGACTTTCGTCGCCAACCGAATAGCCGCCATCCACGACAATTCAAGCCCATCGCAGTGGAGATATGTGAACACTGAAGTAAATCCTGCAGATTATGCTTCCAGAGGTTTGCGTCCCACCAACCAACACGAGATAGAACAGTGGATCAACGGACCGAATTTCCTCCGTAAGACCGAAGATACGTGGCCGAATCGTCCCGAAGGAATAAATGTCCTACCTGATGACAAACTCGAATGGAAACGAGAGGTGGAAATCTACGAGACACAAACGGAAGAAATCAAGCCCCTCGACACCTTTATTCAACATTACTCTTGCTGGTATCGCCTTCAAAAGGGAATCGTGTGGCTAAATCGTTTCATCAAGTATCTTCGTGTTCGTAATTCCAACGGTGCTTCTTATAAGAATGATGAAACGCAAGCGGACATAAGTACTCGTTCCCGTGACGAAGTCACTGGGGCCGGCGTAGGGCCTTTGACAGTCGATGATTTACAAAATGCAAGGAAACAACTTATTCGTTACGTACAACAGGAAGCCTTTCCCGATGAAATTACCCGTCTTAAACGCAGATCGAGCGGTCAATCTACCTCGAAAATTGTTGTGAAGAAATCCAGCAAATTGGCAGCATTATCACCTTTCCTCGCAGACGACGGTCTATTAAGAGTTGGTGGCCGATTGGATAGAGCATCAATAAGTTTTGACGCCAAGCATCCCGCGATCATTCCAGGCAAGCACCACATTGTAGAACTGTTGATACGGCACTATCATGAGCAAGAAGGACACTCGGGCGTTCGTACTGTTTTATCGGCTATTCAGCGTGAATTTTGGATTCTCCAAGGGCGTTCCAGGATTCGATGGATCATTGGCAAATGTGTTCAATGCCGCAAGAAATACGCGTCGCCCTGTGAACAGATAATGGCGCCTTTACCAGCAGCTCGTGTAACTGTTCCAGATTATCCATTTGCGTCAACGGGAGTCGATTACTTTGGTCCTTTGATGGTGAAGAGAGGTCGAAGTCAAGTCAAGAGATACGGATGCATCTTCACTTGTTTGGCCATGCGGGAAGCTCACATAGAAGTCGCACATTCTCTCGATGCAGAATCGTTTCTCTGTGCATTCAGTCGCTTCACAGCCCGTCGAGGAGTTCCGAAGGAAATCTTTAGTGACAATGGAACCAATTTCATTGGAGCGTCAAGAATCTTGAAGGAAGAGTTCAAGAATATTCAGTCAGTGGAGTCTCAAGCCAAGATCAACGATCGTTTACGAATGAAAGAAATCACGTGGCATTTCAACCCTCCCTTGGCAAGTCACACTGGTGGAGTGTGGGAGCGCATGATTCGATCAATCCGAAGAATATTAACTGCACTGACAAGTGAGCAGGTTATTGATGACGAAGCACTTCTCACGTTCTTAGTCGAAGTGGAGAGAATTCTCAACGATCGCCCCCTGAATCGTAACCAAGGTCAAGTATGTGATTTGGACCCACTAACTCCAAGCAAGTTGCTTCTGTTGAGATCGATCTCGTGTCTTCCTACAGGCGTGTTCGTTGGTGAAGATCGTTATAGCAAGCGATGGCGACAAGCTCAACTTCTAGCTAACACATTTTGGAAACGATGGTTGGGTGAATACCTACCTAGTCTGCAGCAGCGCCAGAAGTGGCTGAAACCCAGAAGGAACTTGAAGGTCAAAGATTTGGTGTTAATGGTGGATAAGAAATGTTCACGAGGACAGTGGCCTATGGCAGTGGTCGAGGAAGTTTTTGCAGATAAGGACGGAATGGTGCGTCAAGTTATGATTAGATCGAATGGCGGGAAATTTAAGAGACATGTCCGTGAACTGTGCCTAGTCGAAGAAGCGAAAGAAGTCGATGAATAGTCGCAAGGTCTGGTATATACAAATGTTTATATATTTGTTGTTGTTAAACGAAGCCAATCGAACTCGTACTTTGTTCCAGTTACTGGGCGTAGATCCTTGTGTTTTGGTATATCGACTATGTTTATACTCGATAGGGGCCGGTTTGTAGGATCTAACCCGAAAAGTAGGGCCTAATCGCCTGCGAGCAGGCAGGACATCACGTGATAAAAACACATGTTGGTTTTATATTTTTTGATTGTTTGTTCGGATTACGAAGGGCAAAAGTCAGGTACATTTGCATGTTTTTGGTCCTGTTTTCTATGTATTTGTAAAGTAATTTGTTTCTTGTAGCGTAGTTTATAATGTATTTGTATTGTTTCTATAGAAACCACCTTTAAAGCGATGTTTTGTACGAAAATATATTGACATATGAATTTAATATGGATTCAATTTATATATACGTGGTGCGTTTCGGATAATCCCTTTCAAGAACAACACCCTCTCTTGTGATTATTTACCTTCCTTGAGGTTTCGGCAGAATGAGGGTGGTAAAGGGGGAGGTTTAGATAACATTTCACGTGAAGAAAAACAGCCATTTCACGTTTCGCCAGTAAAAAATTAATCGTATTTCACAAATATTAAAAAACATGTTTTCAGTGAAATTGTTACATCCAAAACATTGCTCTTCGTCACATCACGGGACAACAAAAATTCTTCATTTCACATTTCAGTGATTGTACAAGAACAAATATTAAGAATTAACAGCTTACAAAAATTATACCATTTATATCTAAGTGCCTTAGATATCCTGGTATCATCGGATTCATATGTACCACTGGGCTGTCTGGGCCCGACTCCGTGCGCACCATTAAGCTTGGCTTTCGTGACAAATGTTTTGATGGCACTAGTACTAGATCAGTTTAGATGACTTTTATTCAAACTTCGGTTTTTGAAACTTTGTCTTTCCAAGCGATTCTACAGATATTAAAGCTCGGTAAAGTCATGGATAACTGTAAAATAAATTTATTTTATTATCCATGGTAAAGTTAAGCTGAAAACTTGCTATGCCATATTGCCATTCCCTGTACTTTCGCCGGCACCGCGCAACAAAAGTACTGCAAATAATTCGTTTATAATTGTTTTTGGTCAGTTTGGATGACTTAGTGGGGACTAAAACCGCTGCTGTGAAGAGTGTTACGTCACTTACGTGTGCTAAAGCCCCTTCCCCAAAATGTTGGTAATTTTGTCATTTGCCTTTCAGGCAGCGATCTTCATTTTACTAGTATTTTATCGTTTTTGTTTTTTTTTGTCTTTTCCCCTTTTTTAGAGAGGGGGGGGGGGGCTTAGCCCCTTGTTCAAGCGCCCCTGCACCGCTGTAAAACAAAGGTAATACCCATCACACGGAATACGAATATTTCCGTAACCTCCTAAATAGCCAAAAATTACTGCTATTACCTTATTGTCTCTAATAGTCCAGCTTGTCACAATCTTGACATTTCACTATTTCAGTAACTGGGCGACTTGTTGGGATGAGTATTAACCACGGAAAGTATTTTCCGCATGAAATACTGAATAAAAATACTTATTAGAACTTATTGATTCCTGCAAGTGGTAATCCTGAACAGAAGAGAACATTCAAGTTTTAAAATTCAGTATATATAGACTTCAACTATTATTCAATCGAGTGAGACGCCAACAAAAGATTGATATTTACCCATAACTTAACATGGTAGCACCATGGATTATTAATAGATTAATAATCTGTTTGCGATGTTACTCTGAGTGCATATCCACACCGGGCGAGCTTGAAAAATATGCCCGGCCACGGTGGGATTCGAACCTACGACCTTTGGAATACTAGCCCAATGCTCTTCCAACTGAGCTACGCGGTCAGGACGGTTCGAGTAAGTGATATTTCGGAACAGTATCTGGTTCCTTCAATACCAATATGTTCTAGTAATATGAATTTTTTTTTTCTCTGTGTTGGTGTTGTGTACTCAGGTGAATAATATGTTTGCCATGTTACTCTGGGTGCATATCCACACCGGGCGAGCTTGAAAATATGCCCG